TATAATTTTCTAATATATAATTGTTTATTATATATCATTTCTGCTTAATTTTCCGTGCAGTATTCTGATCTGTTGTTACTTTTGGTATTTATGCGAATCTTTAGACCGCAGAAGAATCCTATTTATTATTTTTCTTCACGGAAAATTACAAATGACCAAATGTCGACATAGTTGCTGTTATCATGCGGAACACGATTAAGTCGCCTTGGTTACGAACACACCCGCGATTCCTGTTCTCGCTGAGAATGAAAAAATGCGTGAAGCCGGTCGTCTTCGTCGTCGGGTTTTCGATAAACGATATCGCTGGAGCCGGTTCCATCGATGTTGGCTTCCCGGAGACAAACCTGCATGAATATTATCCAATTCACCGCGCGAACATCGTCGTTAAATTGCGACTTTTAGCCAACGAAACTGTCAATTGGTAAGTTGGCGAAATACCGAACTGATAAATTTTATTCCCGGTTCATTATTTATATAATTAATTACAAATAATCTCTTGTTACAATTACCATCACTGAAATAAAAATATTTAAACGTAAAATACTTGCATAATAATTATGAAATTCTTGACTAATATAAATAATTTTAAATATACGTATTTTTTAATTTTATAGAAAGAAGACTTGTATTAATATTGATTGCAGATGGAAATTCACGGTAAATAATCGCGCGAAACAAATGCTGATTTTGATTAACGTTTTACATTTATTATAATTTACTATTATATGTGGATATGATAGTTTCATTATGATTTTTATGTAATTTAATTTTAAGTGATTTACAAGTCGCGTTATTTACATGTAATAAGCATCACACGCTTAATATAGCAATCACGATAATTTTTTAAATTTCGATAGATCGAAAGTTGTATGCACTGAAAAAAGTTTCTGATTAAAAATGACTGGACTAAAAGATTCTAATCATATCAATCCGAATTCTCGTTTTCACACACAATGCTAGAATTAAAATAGATTCAACTAGAAAATTCTGATTTGTTCATTTTCAACCAGATTAATGCAGCCAGACTCTTTCTAGTGCACTAAAAGGGAAATTCCATACTAACATACTACCACTGAAGCCCCATGAAATATTTACGAAAGGTCAAAGGTAAGCCAGTTCGAGCACGATGATGATTTTCTGAACTTTAATCCCGTACGCTTGAACACTGAAGCGAAGCGCATTATTGGCTTGTAAATTTATACGATTGTAAGCGATGAATTGAATAGTTCTGTGCCTTTGTAAATACGTAATATTAAACTGTAATATTAAATATTTCTCATAAATTTTACATCTCATTTTAATCATCGTCATCGGAAAAATGTGATTCTTTTATTCAAGAAAGTTAACTTTAAAATCTATTATACATATTTTCTCCAGGAAAATTTAATATATTATCTTTTATTGTACTATTACGTTTTGTCATGCTATCAAACGTTAATAATTCATAAAATTTCTCTTTTCTATTATATTTTGAACGTTCTGTAAACGTTGAAATTTGATCGTTTCAATTGGTGAATTTTTGAAAGAGAATCGCAACAAAGCACGAGACTCCGGCAAAAAGTCGGCAATTATACCCAGAAAAATATATACTGTATTTAAATATCAATTACTTCACGGAGAGAATTTTTTCTTAGAGTTTATCCTGAAAATATGATAGTCGTAGGACAACATTGTATTTCGAAGAATTTTAATGTAAACCTCTCTCATTCATTAATAAAATTACAATAAAGTATAAAATAAGTTTGATTAACTTTACTAAAGTGCATGGTAAAAAAATCTTTAAAATATTGTGTCGTACCACAACTACCATATTTTCAAGGTAAATTTTAAAAGAAAATTCTCTCCGTGTGTTTCAGGTATTTCAAAAGTTCATATATCCGTAAATCCATCATAAATTTATCACCATCAAATTTATTTAAAATATATTCTAAATTCTAGTAAGAATACATACTTTAATCAAGAATATTAAGTTAAAACAAATTTAATTTGCTTATTATATACGTTTGCTTCTTTGATAAAATTTTATAATAAAATTTCATAATATATTTTTTATAAGTAAATAAATATTTGTTTTGAGTACACGATAATAAGGTTTTTTAAAATTTATAATATGTATAATTCTAATAATATTATTAAGAATATATTTTTTGTTAGAGGTAACTATCACTTAAAGCAAAAAGAAGTAAACTGAGTAATCACTTTTCTTGGTAGTGAAATGATATTTTTCTGTGTATAGTTTTGGTAATAGATGGTATTCCTATAGTTTTCAAGATAGAGTGGCTTATTTTGCTCGTATACTCGTTCGAATAGACAACTTTTGTGTATACACCTTGAGTCAACATCTGCTTGAAAAAGTATGTTAAAAACAAAACTTTGTATATCTTTCGATAGCTTTCAAAACTCATACAGTTATGTCTTAAAACTTTTGAGTTTTTTTTTAATGATTAATCAAATTAAAAAATTTTTTATTTAAAAATTCCATCACTAAAGAAAATAAAATTCTTATTTTAAAATGTTTTCAATTTTTTACTTTAATAATTTAATAAAATTATTTTAAAAGGAATAGTAAAAAAATCTCAGGTATCTTTTGAAAAATATCATGTAATTTTGAATCTTTTCGAAAGTATCTGTCAATCCAACTGAAAAAACAAAAGAACTGTTGTCAAATATCATTTATATGATGATGGATCCTTTTTTAATATTTCACTATAATTACATTCGCTATACCCAATTAACTAACGATATCGAATAAATATTCGAATAGATATTGCTGAAATATTCGAATTTTCATATTTTACTGTAACAATACACTGTGAAAACGATATGTAAAATTATAAATGTTAAAGTATAAATGCAAAAAATAAATGTTAAAATCACACGATTTCTAATGGAATATATGTTGTTTTTGTGATTTTACATACCGCTTTTTTACAGTGTATTCGATTTGGCGGTATTTTTCGATCAGCTTTAAATAAATTACACGATTGCGAAGAACGTTATTGCAGTCAATGCGTAGCACGCAGGGAGCAGAGAGTTATCTGCTCTGTGAGAAACGCCTGAATTCCATTCATCATATGATATTTTTTTAATTCGTAATATTATGGAACTGGGGGCCTTATTCTTGAAAAATGTTGCATACGCAAATTAACGAAAATATTATAATAAATGTTACATATGTTATAGATTTCCCTATAATAGTGGCTATGTTTACACCGTGCGCTTAGTTCGCAACCTATACGATAGGTGTCTTTGTTTAATATACAGGATAAACAAAGACATCTATTGTATAGGCCGCGGCCTAAATGCACGGTGTAAACGTAGCCAGTATTTTTGTATGCAATATTTTTCACGAATAAGGTTCCTGTTCGAAATGGATTGCGATCGGAATTGTTCAATTATTTCCTAGATTTTTATTGTACTTATTTTCTAGAGAAAATGGAATTATTTTGATTAGAATCCATTTCGGACAGTTTCATAACAAGTGCCTTGATATTGTTTTTTATTATACAACTGCGATTAAATATGCGATAATCGTTACATTAATTTTGATTTTTTTCAAAGAAAATTCCTTTCTGCATGATCGGCGTGAAAGAGTCGCGTTATGTAACCTCGGGGCGCAACGTTGCGCTAGAGCCGTTCCTGAAGAGGGGGCCTCGGTGTTTTCCAAATCAGCTGTTAGTACTCGCGCAGTGGGAGAGGAAGGGAGGGAGGGATCGGTCAGGTTCTTCACAGTTCTTTAGTCCACAACGATCATGCAGGGAGAGTACGTCGTGTGGAGTCTCGTTTGCGCTTCGTGTAATTCTTATGGTATATACGTGTAACGGACACGATAATCTTGTCGCAGTGTCGCGCGCTTGTTACGGCAACACGGAGGTCGTTACTTTCGCGAGGACACGGGCTGTTGATCTCACGCGTTATCGAAACACGGCCCGTTTCGGGTGAAAGTGAAGTTTTATAAAAGCGAGACTAACTCCAAGTAGACGAGGTTTAAAAAATCATCATCTTCCGTTCATCGTTGCGCGAATGTTCCGCACACTCGCGACCTTCGATCTCGGAATTATTCAACAACAACGTATCCGTGATCGACATCTTTATCTGGCTGGAAACGCGGTTAGAGACAGCGTCTGATGAGAACTTGTAGCTGCCGGAAACTCCGAGGATACGACATTGGTCAGAGACTATATTCTAATGTCAGGCCGATAAAAGTGCGCGTGTGGAATCAACACATTGCGATCGCGCACGATTAGGCTCGCAGCCGCATTCCCAAATCTTTCAAAGCACGCGACTTCTCGTCAGCTAGCGCGTCGACATCCTCGATGAACGTTACTCCTGAAGAAAACGGGGCGAGAGATATTCGCGAATCTGGTCAAGGCCCCCCAGCATTCGACAACGATCGTGCGAATAGTCGACTGCGAGCGTGTCGTCCGCCGCATGCTGCGTGGTTCCTAAGTGTGTCAGTAGGATAACCGACGACGTTTACGTTTAACTGACGCTTCTGCTGGATCATCACGGGCTACGGCGTTTGCTTCCGTGCGGACAATTAAGTACGGTCTACGGTGCAACTATAAGCTGTTGGTGTTTACGTCACCTGCGATATCGATGTTTGTCGAGATAAATTATAATTGTTTTCTCAACTGATTAGTGCCCGATTCCCAGAGAAGGATTCCCAGAGAAGGAGCCAGCCAAAGTGCGACATGTAAATTGTACTCGTACATGGCCCATATTATATTTTGTGGATACGAAGTAGTAGGACCAAAACACCGACTGCCTGCGATCGCGCTAGAATCGAAAGCGCAGATACAAATTAATAAAAAAAATTTATCAGAATCAAAGCCGATTGGTACAAGACAGTAATTATCGAATTATCTAAGTAAGAGTTTTTTTCTCCGAAAGATCATTGTTACAATCGCGATCAGTAATTATTCACCGAGAATCAGAAGAAAATTTTCTACCGTTTGTTACAACCGCTTGTTACAACCGCTTGAAGCAACTGCTTGTTACAATACAATAAGAAACGCTTTGGGATCATTAACGTGAAAAGTTCGACTTGCATATGTCGATTGCCGGTCTACCGTCCCCTGCCTCTTTCTTCCTGCTTCTTTTTTATCTTTATTCCTACTGACATTGCTTGCGCCGCGACGACAGTGACGTACGCGGCATAAACCGTACCCCGAGTCCGCCATTTCGCGATGGAGGAAGATGAGAGTCTGGTGCAGGCGAACGACAGTGTCTCGATCCCATCGAAAAAGGAAAGCGGTTATTTCGAGGAAAACTGTGGTGACTTAAGCGACGTCATCTTCAGTAATTACAATCACTATGGAGCGCTTCTCAGCGTCGATACTGCCGGCATTTTGATCATCAATGAGACCAGACGATCGGATCACTGGGAGGAGAGCAGGCAAGGATCCTCCTTTTCTTCTGGTCTTGTTGAGGACATAAACGATCTTGACGTTAACGACTCTGATGAGGCTAAAGACGACATCATCATCAAACATCCTGAAGAAACCAAACGTGATGTAATCGAAACTTCCGAGGTAGTTTATGATCCTGAAGGTTCCAAGGAATTTGCTTATACCCACGAGGACTCCTCGGCAGTTCTTTGTATTCCCGAAAACTTCGAGAAAAACATTGACTCTGAGGCGCCGGTCTGCGTTCACGAAAAGTCAAAAGCAGTCGTTTACATTCACAAGAGTCCTGAAGTAATCGATTGCACCAAGGAGAATTCGACAAATGTTGAGTGTGCAACCAGTCCCTGTACCATCGTTGAAGATTGGGATAATGCAGAAATATCTGTTTGTGACACAGGTAAAACCATCTCTGTCGATGATAATGATGTTACATATCGCCGTCGTATGGATCTTTTTATTCTCGCACAAGAAATCATGTCTTTTCATTATTCGTACTTTGCTCGTCCGGTGATTAGTTCTTCGGTGATCGTAGACTTGCTTATCATCATCCCTCGATAATTCGAAAACAATCGTCTTTCGTATCAAGTATCGTGTTTTGCATACTCATCGTTAAACTGAAAAACAGATACGATAAATTGAAACGTATAAAGGAAAAGCAATGCGTAGCATTTTTAAAACGCGGAATTTATGCCGACCAGCGAATGTTTACTGTGCATGATATTTAGCAATGGCTTCAACAGGTCGTAAATACATATGTATAAAGTACAGGCTTCTTAAAACCCATTAGGTATCGATCTGACTATTTAATATTTCTTTATTCGTTACTGGGTTGCAGCACAGCATTCGCAACGCTCGTAATCGTAAAAATTCGTAATTTGTAATGGTATGTATCGTATTAATTTATTGTAGACACGATTTGGTTCCTTGAAGAGAAATAGATATGTTTTCTTCTTTATATGTCTTCCTATTTATTCCTTTGATGCTAAAATGACGAAAATGATGAAACCAAAAAGCACTTTGAAGGATGCATTAGATGCATTCGAGTACATATTTTATAAGTACTTTATTCTAATATTTTATTTGAAGAATTCTAAGAATTTAAAATTATTCCTTTATCCTTTTAAATTATTCTTTTTAAATTATGTAGAATTGAAATGAGATAGTTTTTAATATTAACGTGTTAAGATGCTTTATAATAAATTTAGATGTAAATTTAAGTCTGGGCCTAATGATGTACATTCTTTAAATTTCTTGGAATGAAATCTCACACTCCAAAAGAGTGAAAATACTACCACTATTGAAAAAGAGTTCATATATTTTTACTTTTTTTCAATAGTGGCAATATTTTCAGTCTTTTGGAATAAGATTTCATTCCAAGAAATTTTGAGAGTACGGCGAGCCATTATAATGATATATATAATAAATGAAAAATCATTAAATTTTCATAACTTAAAAATTCAGACACCTTAAACTTTTAAGACCATTAAAACTTCAGACAATCCCTATCTGTCATTAAATATTCGAGAGTTTTGAGTCAGTACATAAAACCGGCAGTTCATTATAAATTTTCAACTTACAAATTTTTACGTATTCTGTATTGTATTGTATTCTGAAAATCTGTTTCCCTATTGTATAGTTCGTCTGATACGATCAATTTTACGAAAGGATAGAGATAAAAAATTCTCATGACAAAGTAGTCAAGAAAAATAAAAGAGAGAGAGATAGAAAGAAAGAAAAGAGTAAAAAAAATATAAAAACAAGAATATTCTTTTAACGATGTTCTTCCTATTTTCAAGTAGTCTTCATATTTTGAACAAAAAGAACTAAAATTTCTCTAAAATTCTCATAAATCCATACATGTGGCCTTCATACTATTAGCCTCAATTTGATTAATGTGTGTATATATATAAAAGTGTGTGTATATATATTTTCAAATGAAATGTTCTTAATCCTTATTGTGTTTTTAAGATTTCACATCTATATTGAAACTTTTCTAATGTTTGCTACGTTTTAAGATCAATACTTAGGCTATTTTTTACTTAGATTTGTTGATTTGATGATTAATTTTGTCTGGCGCGTATGATTTTCTTCAGACGTAAGCACATAACGGTGAACTCTTGGTGCGAATAATTCGGACTTCGACCTTACGCTTCGTTGTCGAGTGATTATTCTTCATGCGTAAAGACTACAGACGTTCACGTTTGTGCCAAAAAGAGAAAGAGGAAGAGAGAGAGAGAGAGATCACGTTTTGAAAAAAAAAATGATTGGTGTTGATCAGATAGCGTCGAGTGTGAATGCACCTCAAAAGATATTATAATACGTGCTGCAACTTTCCTCTGTCACATTTATATGGTTCACAAAGACTTAGCAATCAAAATCATTTTTTATCAACTATTACTCGCTTTCTTTTATTTCCGCTTACAAGTGTTACGCGTACTTGTCCCTGGAGTACACTAAATCATGCGTCTTTCGAATCGTTTCTCGTGCCACACATTTCTATATTAAAAAAAAACGGGTTATTTATTTCCTAATACTTGCTGTAGTTCCGCATAAGTTTCGTATACGCGTTTTTAGCGAAAGGGTGAAGAGTTAATATCACGACAGGAAGGGGGGAGATCTTAATCACTTTCTCCTGGTATATACAAGAGAGACATGACATGATTGAAACGCGCAGGTTTGTGCCAGGCTTTCGAAACCGGTGTTATTCTCAATCGAGGGAAGCTTGTTTTAAGTTTTCGGGAACTGATGTTTTAATTTTATAAAACGCATCATGAGCTTTACGAGAATTATTTTCGACGTCAGTAATTTTATATATAATTTAATGTTCGACATTTAACATGTTCGAGAAATTGCGGACGATCTCGATAATCCGCAGAAATGTCCTGTTTCGTATTCTCTGTCCGCGCAATATCTACTTTTATATATATATATATATATAAAACGAAAGAATTGAATACCGAAGCTCCAACAGTCCGTGTTTCTTTGAGCGCAAACAAGTTAATCGACATGCGGAAAGGTGGTAGCTTATTCTCTCGTCGTTCGCTCACTGAACAACCGTATTGCATTTGCAAGTGTTATGGGAGATCTAAAAATAAACCACTATTATCAATGAGAAGCCGTATCGAAAGTCAGCACGAAAATATCCAATTACAAATGGTACGGCGTACGGACGTATTCACAGAATAGCCTCTTTCACTTCCTATCCTTGTTTAGAGATAAGACACTATATTATATAACGTTTTATGCTATCGTGCAAATATAATATAGGTACTTGCTGCTGTTTATGAAACCGTTTATGAAAGTCGGATTGATCCAGCAATCGGAGATAATAAAAGTAACGCGGCAAGTATATTTTACACGTTCTGGCAAATGTAATTTCTTCTTTCACGTACGTTTCACTGAGATTTATGGTAAAGAAATCATATCATAAGAAGAAATATCACACGTCGCTAAAAATAAGCGGGAAGATGCGACATGTTTGTACGTAAATATGACGTTTATAACGTGAGTATATCGTGCGAGCTTTCTTTGTGACGCTCGATAAAATAAGAATTAAAACTCAGCGTTTTCTTTCCTTTGTGTAAAATGTAACGATCGTCCGTATATAATTTTCGTTGTACCAAAAGCGCGTTGTATTCAACATAAACATGTTAACGAGAGAAATGATCTGATTAAATATATACACAAGCATTACTGACAATATATATAAGTATTTGAACGATTGACGCAAAAACAGCTTCGACAAAAACAATTCGACAGTTGCGTTTTCCAAAGTTTCGTAAAACTTTGACGCAACAACATGTTCATGCATGTTGATTGCACTTAATATTGCAATCGAAAACGATTGCGATTTGAAGTGCCTATTGATATGGGTGTTGTAAAGAGGCTCTCAGTTACACGGTACATTTAATTAACGAGAATTATTGCCTCTGTTCGAACATTAATAGTTTTCTAGTTTTACGGGAATAAAAAATAGAAACTGAAAAATTGATAAAGGGATAAAAAATCTTAATTTTCTATAGATAATCTTGAATAAATCTTGCTTTAATAATTTTTTATGTTATTGTTGCGACAATAAATTTTTTATCTCTTTTTAATTTTTTGCGATTATTTAGTGATACACTGAAAGAAAAGATTGGCTGTTGCAGCAAATTAGATGGTAAAATATGGCATTTTTAATTGGCTGTAGTAGCCAATTTTTGATTACGTTAGCCAATCGAAATCACCGGTGTGAAAGATTTCGATAATCTTATATTGATATTGCGGATAGGCTAATACGATCAAAAATTGACTGCAGTAATCAAAAATTGACTGTTGCAGCCAATTAAAATGCTATACCATATTTTACCATCTAATTTGCTGCAGCAGCCAATCTTTTCTTTCAGTGTATATAAAGAATTGATAAGATAAAGTTAAAAAAATAAAAATAGATTTGGAACATTATTAAAAATAGATTAGATACTTTCTTAACGAGGCTTTTTGTTTGAGGAAAATTCTAAATCGGTTAGGAAGTGAGAGAGATAGTGTTTGTTTGCATATTAACACGGATATATGTACTTATACGTGCTTATAAAAAGAATTCTCGGAAATAAGAAAAGGTTTCTGTTAAAACGATTCGAGATTGGGCACGTAGCTGCAATAAGTAATAGATACTCGTGCCGGATGGCCGTGAAAGATGGTCTTAATGAACAAAAAGAAAATATTAAAGCTTCCACGTGGATGCCAGGAAAGCGTACCGCAACTGACTCGATCATTTTCTAATAATGTGTGTTTACTTCATACGGGACGTGAGTTACTGATACGGAGGATTTAAACGGCTATTTGTTTTCTATAAATAGTATAAGGTTACTTAAGAATAAACCGGTAAATATCGGCAGAATGAAGGGATGAACTTTGTATTTCTTCATTTCTATTATTTTTAGTTATTTCTAATTATTTTTACTCAAATATTTATATGTATATTTTTGATTCTTTGCACGATAGCATGAACGGATGTTACCGATTACAACGTGTCGGACTAATTTCATATCGCAAATTGACATTGAAATATATTGAAAAGAAAGTCGGGTTGAGTATCGCGAAGATTTTTAAATTTTGAGTTAAAAATTCAGTAAACTGTCCAGAAATTAATATTAAAACTTACGTTCCAAATATTATTTTTTGTGTACATATCTCTTTTCGTCCTAATGTACGTACACAGTTCCTTTTTATTTTTATCAAAAGAAAATATAGAAATTAGACACGGATGAGAGGACAAAAAACTTGATAAGTTCAAAAATGTATCAATATCAACGAAAGCATTGTCTGCTTGTTCTCTCGATGTACACGACGATTTGTCGTATGTGTTGAACAGTGCTGTAATATTTTTTATCGATGCGACACGATACGATTATCTTG